GCTGACTTTGGAATACCTGGAGCAGAGCAGCTGGGGTGCTGCCAGGTTGGTCCCACCGCGCCAAGGGTCGGCGCTACCAGACCAACCCAGCAGCACTCCAGCTGCTCTGCCCCAGGCGTGTCCGATTCAGCTGCTGCTGGTCAGTTTCAATAGCGGCTGAATCTGGATGCCAGTTCCGACTTACATACAAATTCAACTTAAGAACAAACCTACGGTCCCTATCTTGTACGTAACCCGAGGATTGCCTGTATTGCACAGACAGTTATTTACAAGAAGGATAACTTGTTCTGGGTTTTCATTTTATTATAAAGTAATTAGATGCTGAATGACAAAGCAGCCTTTGGCTTAAACCAAGCTCTTTGCTCCTTTTAAAAACTAGAGTACAACCACGTAATCAGGGAATACCGTACTCCATAATTTTAGATTACCACCTTCTACGTAACTCTGGTATTACAGAGCCTATGAACTTGCTAATTATGCAGCATTTAACTTTCAATGGTGACTTACATGGCTGGAGAACCAGTAGCTCAGGGTCAAATTGAAGCAAACAGCCCGCACCATCAGAATGGTTCTGCAGCATCAGCAGCTGTAAATGTTGTGTGGCATCCTGTCACAAAATTAGTGGGACAAAATAAAATATTACGCTTAACATAAGATTCTCATAAAATGTGCACAGTCTTTGCTTCACTGTTTGTTATAAGTTTTTCAAAAAATTCTCTTGTCTTAGACAGAAGAAAAAGAGGAAGAAGACTTATCAGGAGAACCTAAAGCTTCACCTAGTGCTGATACAACTATTTTGTTTGTGAAAGGTGAAGGTAAGATGTGCATGTGTCTGTAGCAATCTGTCAAACACTTGACTGTTGCTGAGTGTTTGCTAGTTTTAAATGCCATTACATGTGCATAAAACCATGTTGAAGCTGATCAAATGCTGTAGATTTTTTTTGGGTCTGAGCTTAAACTGGGATTCTTGTGCACTTTAACATTGATATGAAATATAAACTTTTCTAACCTTGAAATATTGTTATGTTCTAGACTTTCCAGCAAACAACATTGTAAAGTTCCTGGTAGGCTTCACCAACAAGGGCACAGAGGATTTTATTGTTGAATCTCTTGATGCCTCTTTTCGGTACCCTCAGGACTACCAGTTTTTCATTCAGAATTTCACAGCTCTGCCTCTGAACACAGTGATCCCACCACAAAGACAGGCCACATTTGAGTACTCATTCATCCCTGCGGAGCCTATGGGTGGTCGTCCCTTTGGACTAGTTATAAATCTGAACTACAAAGACTTAAGCGTAAGCCTGGTTTCGGCATTACTTTTACTTCAAATTTAAAGTGGAATTGGGGGCAGGAAGGGAAAAGCTAATCTAGTTGATAGTTTTTTAAAAGCATTTCATGTCTGCGTAGATACCATTAAATGCTTAGACCAACTTGTGTTTTTTCTGTTATGAATATGTATTAGATTGTCTGTCTAATATTTTGTGTGCTATAAAATTACACTTGAACTTACATCAGCTAGGGACATTATGGCACTTAAGGATAATGAATGGTGCTCTGTCATTATAGAAAATGTTGACTTTTTGTTGATGTATTTCCTAAACTCACTGAACGAGATTTGTATAGTCCTATGAGTTTGAATGAGTGAGTAGTGTTGGCAAGTGTTGTCATTTTCTTTTTAGAGGAAGATTTATCATAGGCCATAATGGGAGTTAGGTGCATGGCTTCCACTGACTGTCAGAAAGAATTAAACATGTAATTGCTTCTTGCACCTTTGAAAGTTCCCTGCAGTGAACAGTTTAGTAAGAACCTCAGTGCTCAATAGAACTTCTTTGTCATAACAGAAAGGCATGAAATTGGTAATAGCCTTTGTGCTAAAGCCATGGGACACTGTGCTAAAGCCATAGCACATGTTCTTATGGAAGTTTTTTATATAGTTACCAACAGTATTGCTTTGCAAGTCTTCAGCTAGCTCCAGTTTCAGAACCTCTTGCAGAATTTTCTCCCATAGCTATATTATTTGTCTTTTGTTGTGAGCTAGTCAGTTCCTCTGCTTTCCATATAATAGTTTATCCTCAGCAGAAATTAAACTGTTTTTCTCCTCCTTGGAGAGGTTAAACTGTTTTTAGAAATAATCATCATTATTGCAGGGCAATGTGTTCCAAGATGCTGTCTTCAATCAAACTGTTACAATTATTGAAAAAGAAGATGGATTGGATGGAGAAACGTAAGAGAAATTTGAATTTGGTTTTGTTGGCAGCAGTACCTTAATTGGTGATATTCTAGATGTGGTCACTTAAATGCTTTTTGTCCTCATTTCATGGGATGCTGAAAATCCCATAAGGCCTGATGATGGTAAAACATTTAGAGGAGGGGAGAGGAAATGTTATCTGAACACCTCAGAAATAAAGACTGTACATTCATGTTTAGTGTGAAATAAAAATGATTGGGTATGTAGTTCTCAGACTTCAGAAATTCTATACATAATTCATGTTTCAGAATATAGCAGTATTACTATTCCAGATAAGATAATTTTCACTACTTTTCACCTTGGAGATCCACATTCAGAGCATAAGTATGGGCTATTGCTAATTGCGTCAGTCTTAGGCTGTATTCCTAAGTAAGATTATTTGTATGGAGGAAGGACGACACAGAGGGTTCATAATATTGAGATGAGATTCACATTTTGAAGGTTGAAGAAACTGTGATATAACTTTATTTGAGGCACAGCTTTAAATTAGCCTAAAGTTCTTTTCAGGTGGTAACATATAAATTGAGTTAGTCTAATTCCTAGCTAACATGCGCTCATTAAAAGTTTGGGGAAATGCAAAGAGGTAAAGATAAATTCCTATGATAACAGAATTACTTGCCCCTGGAAGTAGCTTTCAGCTACTTTGTGCAGAAACTTACCTTTTCTGCTTGATCTGCAGATTAGAGAGATTCATTATAAGCATTTAACTAAATTGTTGGGTCTTTTAAAGATGACATGGTGTTCACACTACTTGTTAAATATACATTAACATATTGAGTGAGATTTTCAAAATCATCTGTCACTTAACTGCTTTTGGAAATTCCATCTTTTCTAATAAGCTATTGAGCGTTTATAGATGTGTGTACTAGAATGTGCCTGCTTTTTGAAAACTTGGGGTTCATACATTCTCGGAATTGCTTGTCAGCTTCAGCTTCTGCGACAGGTTAGTTTAAGAGGGTGATTTACTGTTCATAAGAATAAGGGAACATAATCTCGTAAAATAGAGATTTTAAACTACATAACTGGAATCTATGGAAAAAAGAATTCCACTATCGCCTTAGTCTAGGAAATATATAGGCTGTTTCAGAATTCAGTTGTAGAATGTACCCATTTCCTAACTAGGAGGCTCTCTGTCACCAGTAGAGATTTGAGGGTATCCTTGCAACATGTACATTGATGTGGAGCAGTGTTTTTTATAAAGTACCCTTTAAAAAAAAAAAAAAAAAAAAGTACTGCCCGTACCTACAGTTTTCAGACACACATTTTTTTTTCTATCATTGAAACACATTTGTTTAAACAACGTAATTGTAGCCAGGCAGGCAATGAAATTTTTGGGTGTGTAAAGTACAAAAATAATAGTGCTGTAAAACTTAAACACAAATTCAGTTTTCTCCAACTTTCAGTTGTTGACGTACCCTACAGATTTCTCTCGAGTACCCCTAAGGTACCACTCGTATCACTGTTTGAGAAACACTGATGTGGAGAGTAAACTTATAGAAGTGATTCTCATAGCTTGTGAATCTGATTAGTAAAGTTAGCAGACATATTCTCTCACATGCACACAACATCTTAATGTGGCATGATACGTTAATTTTAGCAAATGTAAACGTAGAGAAATGTCAGTAGCTAAATACATATTTGTTGAAAGCTGCCAAATGGCACACTTTTGTTTAAAAAAAAAAAAAGCCATTTTTCCAGGTAAGTTGTGCTTACTGTAACTGATCAGAGTCAAACAACTCTAATTGGTTTACTCTTTCACAGAAATTTGTATTAAGGATCATTATTTCTCATCATCCATTCTTTCTCCTGAAAGAGACTGGAGAGAGATTTCATAAAATTAAAAAAAGGATGGGGGTGCATGTAAAATCAGTGTCTGCAGAGATTCTTCACCGACCTGATGAAATTTCAGCTGTTACTTTACATTCTTTGTGTTAAAAAACTGATTTGACTTCCAAGTGATGACCCTTTGCAATTCTTTTTCTCCCTCTTACGAAATAAGAATCTTCATGTACGTGTTCCTGGCTGGACTCGGCCTACTTGTCATTGTAGGTCTTCATCAACTGCTAGAATCTAGGAAAGTAAGTAAACAATTATGTGTATGTGCTTGTTTCAGCATCAACATAATACTGTATATGATAACTATTAACTTCCAAGTTTTGTGCCATTGTGAAAATTTAACTCCAATAAATTCCATTGAAGGGACTTTAAACAGTAATGTCTTATGAGCTATTTTCTAACTTTAAAAAATATGCTGGATCAGCTGCTTCTCTACCATTATGCATTTGCTTAACTTCTTCCTCCATAACAATGTGTGAACCTTCTGGAGTAAAAGGCCCTGTTTTTCCAAAGGGCATACAGCTATGAAACTACATTTTTATTTGTTTACAATCTCATGGAAGGTTTGTATTTACAACCTCATGGAACCCCTTCTTCATTTTCTCCTGTTATTACATGATCAGCTGTTAATACCTTGTCTTAACTTACATTATTCCAGCCGGAAAGGTTAGAGTATATTGCTATATGTATGTAATTGAACTTTTTCGAAATGATAATAATTATACTGAACATAAGAATAGTGTGCTGTAGATTTGTGCTTTTTTTATACCCATCAGTGTTACAGTGCAGTGATCTGTATGGGAATCTAGATATAATTCCTGCCACGTGGAATGAGGATAATCAGAATTTAAAAAGCTTAAGGTCTGACACCTTATGAGTTTTGACAAATTACTTGAGCGAACTTGAAATCTTAAATTAGGTCACAAAGAGGGTTTGACACTAACTGTTCACAAGATTAAACTGTATTATTTTATGTTTGCTTAATGACAGTTAGCTGTCAGTAAATACAGTAATTCCTTAGTTAGGTTTAATACCGAATTAAGAGTTCCTTTAATTAGGTTTTAGAGCTTTCTTATGGAAAGCAGCTCAGTGCATATCTCTCCTTGTGAGATAAACATATTATTGTCTCAAACTCTTCCAGAGAAAGAGACCAGCACAGAAAGTAGAGATGGGTACATCAAATCAAAATGACGTTGACATGAGCTGGATTCCTCAAGAAACTTTAAATCAGATCCGTAAGTAATAAGCCTTTTGCATCTGGAATATTGTTCATTTGTTTTATCAAAATGCTAAAAATTTTTTACCAGATTCTTAAGCCAGCTGCTTCATGAAACAACTTCAATCTAGAAATGTCTTAAGCATATGCACTTGTTTGTCATAACTGTTTTACGTATTACACGGTAATTGGTTATTTAAAATGAGCTGTTTTTAAAGGTGCACTCTACCCACACTTTTATGGAGCTAACAGTGGCTGCACCACAAACGTTTTTTCCTGTCTGCTAGTAACTTTCATTAGATTCCATCTTACCAATTAGCTAGAAGTTAAGTCCACACTAGGTGTTACATGACAAGTGATCTCTAAAAGCTTTACAAAAAAAAAACCCCTTTTGTTACCTATGCTTTCATATATTGGCTTTAAGCACTGCTAACCCTCCAACCAAAGTTTGATCTCAAAAATCTTAAGGAGTCCTACTGAGAAGTCCATTTCCCAGTAATGGACTTCAGTCTGTAGAATGAACCCATCTAAGTTATCAAATGAGCATCAAAGTGTGTAATCTTGTACTTATTAAATACAAAATATTAAGGTAAAGTGGTATAAGTGATATTCAGGACCCCATTACAACAACTTCTGTTAAGAATGCTAAACCCAAATTCAGTTTATGAATTTTTGTAGGCTGTTTGAATGCCTGTGGATATTTCTAACTTCTCTTTTGCTGTCTTTTTTCCTTTCCTGTGGCTTCAGGGCAGAGTAGAAAAGGTGAGGCACTTAAACTTTGATGGTGCTTTGTAGTAACTAGGGGCTTTTACTATGCATCTACTCTAACTGGGCTCTGGTAAAATCCTAATTCATCACTGAATGTGGGTGTCAGTAATAGCATAAAAGCACTGGTAAGATTACAAGTTTGATGGTTGCAGGTAAACAATGTATTAAAACATCTAACAGATATTGATCCTCCTTTAGTTTTCATATTCTTGTGACTCTGTTTTGGTAGTCTAGTTAAATGGTTAATTAGGTAACCATGTAACCACTGAAAATCTCAGCAATTACACACTAAAGCTTCTACCTCATACTGCAGAGCCCACAGCATTCTTGGGGAGCCTGCATGTAATGGTTAACCATTAAATGGTTATACTCTTACAAGTGTGTAGGTTTTTTCCCCTCGTAGTACTTCATAGATGAAGGCTGCAATTGAAGAAAGATTTTAGCGAAGAGAACAAAAATCATGCATATGGCACAACCAAAAAAGTCTGAAAATTCTTCTAATCGGTTTGCATAAAAAGCACCCCTAGAGCAAAAGACAGTTGTAGAACTGCCATAATCATTTTTGTAAACTACCAGGATTAAACATCAAATGATTATTTTGTAGTATTGTAGAGCTTGAATAGTTCCTAGAACCACAGGATTTAAAATCATCATGGCTAATATCTCTTTTGCCTCACTGAATTCTGATGTGGTTACCTCAAAACCTTGAATGAATACGTGATTCCAGCTGTCAGAGAGCAAAGCATTAATCTCTGGCAGTTATGCTAGAAAATAGTATGCAAATTCTGGAAAGTGTTTTTCACAGAAAGGTAGAAACTTTCTAAAGTGTATTGTTTTTGGCATAGCTTTAAGGGAACCAGCAGAGCATGTATTCTTTGTAGCTGGGTATAGATCAATGTTTTGAATGCAAAGTACCTTTCATTAGAGTATATTTAGCAATTTTATACAAATAACTAAATATATTTAGTCTTGTGAGGTATGTGTTAAAGAACATGAAGCTTATTTAACTTTAAATACTGTGCTAATAGCATGTTCAGAAACAAGCAAGGTTTTCTTTCATTTCAGATCTTCCTCCTATAAGGCAGTGTGCTGGAAAGCCAAATGGCAATTTCCATTCTATTCAGGAAAAGCATGAGAAAACAGATTACTTAATTTAAAAATGTGCTCTTTTAATCTAAACTACTTCAAATAGTATAACTTGTCTTCTCCTTTTCTTCAGATAAAGCTTCACCAAGACGGTTGCCCCGCAAAAGGGTACAGAAGAGATCAGTGGGATCTGATGAGTAAATGTTAAAACAGTTTAGCCTTTACTAATCTTTTCCCCTGCCCCCCCCTCCTTTTTCTGGATTGGAGTAGTGCACAGAAACCATATCAACATGAGGAAAATACTACTCGCTATTTGGACTGACAAGTTTATCTGACAATAACATTGCTGAAAATGTACTTCTCGTCCCTTTTTTAAGATAACAAAATTGCTTTTGGGGAAGTGGGAGGAGAAATAAGTTAATGATTAAGATTTGTGTGTATAAACAATTGATCTTTACAGAATCATTGTGGTACCTGAAATGTGCCTTTAGAGTCCTATATAATGCTGGCTTGTCATCTGCATACCTTTCTAAAGTTTTTTTTTTTTTTCCAGAAATCAAATGTGTAGCTGCCTAATCTATTCTGATTGTATCCTGTTTGTATAAGAATCTTCATGCATTTTTATTATGTAGTATCATAAAGCTATGAACTTCATTTTTTGCTGCCCACTTAGCTTAGCTACTTAAGATTTTTTGTTTGTTCCTGTTTCAGTGATGATCCACTGATTATATGAACTTTTAATGTAGCTAGTATTCTAAAGGCACAGCCAGGTGTAACTCCTTTTAGCAGTATAGAACATTTTTTTTTGCTGCTGTTTGATATAATGCGCACACTGTGAGACCTAAGAATCCAAATGTATTTGTATAAAAGTTAGAGGAATTTTTACAGCGGCAAAACTTGTGAAGCATGGAATGGTATGTAATCTATATAAAAGATTCTTTTTACAAAAAACCCCACCCTGTTACATTTGTTTAAATTGTTAACTTATTGACTTGTGCCAACAATTCTGATATTCTGAACCATAGAGGTGACTTCGGAATGCTTGCTCAAATAATTAATAGGTCCCAATTGGTGTTCAGTGACTTCCCCATGCTTACAAAAACCTAAAAATCAGATAGCAAAATGTATTGAGTTTCTGAAATTATATTTGATGCAAAAGATGACTGTCTTATAAAACTATTAGGCAGAGACTATTTAATGTACAGTAGAGACTTTTTGTAATCCAATTTTAATTTCAAATATAGCCTGCAGGTGTACAAAGCTGAGTTCTTAACTGGCAGTAAAAAGAAATTAACTTTGACCCTTTATTTTGTGGCATTGTGTGAAGTACTCAAATTTTGTTGTGTAAATACTTTTTTTTTTTTTTTTTTTTGTATTAAAGTAACTGAGTCAGTGAACTGACATATTGGCAATACCTAAATCTTACTCAGACTTTAAATTGGATTGGGCTTCATGCAAGTTTAGTTTGGCTTCCTTCTTCAGATTGATTCCAGTACATTCTCAGTTAAATACATGCTAGTTCAACATGCATGTATAGCTGCTTCACATATTTTAAATAGAAAGGTAAGAAAATATTTTTAAATAAGGAAGGAAAGATACAAAGCTATGCATCCTCAAATAGAATTTGTTTTGTGGAAGACTCCATGATTACAATAGAGATCTGTCACTAAAAATGTACAGAAGTAATTTTAGTATAGACAGACAACTGGATTTTAGTCTTGCATTCTCTGAGACAGTAAAAGGAAGGAACATTCTTATATAGATAGGTGCTTCTGAAAATCCAGTTTACATACCTGTCTGAATCATTAGGTGCCTAAATACCTTTAAGGGGAAAAAAAGTCCATCTCTTTGCTCAGTTTGGGAAATGCAGTGAATTGGGACTTAACTATAAAACAGAACTTTTTCTTGGTGCTTATTTCCTGATCTGCTTTTGTTCTGCAGGGACTGAGCATCTGAGCCCATGACAGATGAACAATACCTGTAAATCACTTCCAAGTCCTGGGTCTGAAACAGGCCCTAAGGTCTGAAACTACCTGACTGACACTACTAAACTACAAACTTTCCTGTAAATGAAGTGTGAAGTATTTTGACACTTGTCTTGGTGTGGAAAGTAACTAGAAATATCTACTTCCCTTTAACAGTGTTTGACTTATAAAGTTGACAGTATAGTTTGACAGTAAAGAACATTGAATTACCACATTTCAAGATCTAAAAGATTATTAATTCTTGTACAGGCTGACCATAGTAAATCAAATAGACAATCATTTGAAGGCTACCTTCAAAACAACAACTTTGTACCTCAGCTAATGCAACCAACCAGCCATTTCAGCTAAATGGAGGATGATTTATCAGGTCATTCATACTACTTATTCTGCAAAGCAATTAAGTCATTAGGGGAGAAATTGGCAGCTCCCCTTGCTGCTTAATTTTGGGATTATGCCTGGTACTTAACTTCACTAAGAATTTTTCCAGCATGTAGTGATGAGCAATCATCATATTGACAGAAATGTTAAGTTTAAGTCTGGAAATAGTGTTCTCTAATGTTTGTTTCCTTGAGACTATGGAAACGAGGACAATTCTGAATGTGAGTAGTTGTGTAGGAGACAGTCTTCACCCAGGAGGCAAACCCATGCACTTTACAAAAGCAAAAGGATCACAACACATTTAGGCTACGTCTACACTGGCCACAATTTCTGGAAAAGCCATGCAAATCAGGTAAGTCAGGATAGGGAAATCCGCGGGGGATTTAAATATCCCCCGCGGATTTAAATAAACATGTCCGCCGCTTTTTTTCCGGCTTGGGGAAAAGCCGGAAAAAAAGCGTCTAGACTGGCGCGATCCTCCGGAATAAAGCCCTTTTCCGGAGGATCTCTTATTCATACTTCGAAGTATGAATAAGAGAT